ATCCGGTAGGAACACTGGGATATATATATATATATTCATATTCCTAGGGTTTTCAGCTCTGTCCTTGGCCACTTTTCTAGTAAAGCATTTCCTTCTAATCTATATTTTAGCTGTCTTCCTTCCCTACATCTGTTTGCTGAGCCTGTTTTCCTTTTCTTTGGCTTCATTTTTTTTCCAAGCCCACCAGTAAGAATAACTTTCTGCTGGCTGAGCTTTTGGTATTATGCTTTTTTGTGTCCTGGGGAGATGTCACTGTACAGCAGCATGAACTAATGACACATGGCATTTCCCTTTGTAGATTGCCTTTGTCTAAGTGATAGCCAGAGAAACACTCTTGTCCCCTATTTTCATGGACTCATAGACCAGCTCTGGCGTCTGTTATAGCCTATCTATCAGGAAATGGTTAATGTCCCATTGTCCTTTTCTGTTTGTGTTTAGTTGTCCTTACTTGTGCACAGCATGAAGGAAGTCAGTTTTGGCTGGGACTGTCAGTTCATGGGAATTAAGCTTTTCCCTGTTACCTCTCAGGGAATACATTGGGCTATTCCTTCCCCCAACCCCCACGGAGTTTTAAAAAGTGTTTTTGCAAGTATCTGTGAAAATGTTACCACTCCACCCATCTATGCAGATCAGTTTGAAATCTGAACAGTGCAGCCGACTTTTAATTTCTGATGGAAGAAGTCCATGAAGTTCAAATGCTGCTAGGCCTGGAACGTGATCAGCAAGTCAAATGATAAAAAAAAAAAGAATACTACACCATATGCAGGGGGGAGGGGAAGATGGGAAGCGCTTCCTTGATTTTTTTTCCCCTCAGTATGTCCTGGTGTTCCCTGAGGTCCCAAGGCATGTGCATGTCCAATGTATGGCTGGACATGCGCAGATCTGTGTGTCAGTGGGACAAACAAAGACATGCTTGAGAAGGGTTGAGTGATGGGATAATTAGAACCAGCCAACAGCAGGGTGGAGGCATCATCTGTGCGAGATAGCTTGTCCACTAATTGCCAGCGCCAGATTTTCTGGGCAATTAGATGTTCGGTGTCTTCCAAGACCTTCTGTGCAAACACGGACACATGGCCTCCAGCCTTCCAGGTAGCAGGTGGAAAGAGGGTAGCTCCCTGGTGGATGGCAACTCTCTCGAGGTTACCCCAGGGATGGCATATAAAATGGAACCATCATCAACTGGTGGGATGACTGCCTGGCGAGGCCCCTGTGCAGAGACAGAAGAACCCCCTACTTTTATGGAAATCTGTGCCTTGAGTTCAGGAGGAACAAAGCTGGGGGTGTTCAGTGGGCTAGCTGAGGAGCTAAGTGTATTCCACTCTTTTTCAAGCACCGTGGGACACAGGTACTAATAGGTACAGGAAATATTGTGTCCTCCTACGAGCATGATTAAGTTATAGGTTTTGTTTTTAGACAAGGCCTCAAGTAGTCCAGGCTGCCCTTGAACTCCCTGTGTAGCCTGGGGATGACTTAAACATCTGATCCTCTGGCCTCTCTGCCTTCACAGTGCAGAGATTACCAAC